CTTCATTCAGCAAGAAATGTCTGTTAGACAAGCTGAGATGCAAGCAGCTATTGTCGGATCATCAGGATGGAATGAGAGGTAGAGTTGAGTGTCATCAGCATAGCAGTGATATGAAAAGCCATGTTTCTGAACGACAGAACCTAGTGATGCCATGTAGACAGAGAAGAGAAGTGGTCCAAGAACTGAGCCCTGAGGCACCCCAGTAGATAAATTCATATTTTTAAGTTAAATGTGATTCAACTCAATTTTCTAAGTCAGTTTGATATAATTTAGGTTGAAATGACTTGTACAGCCTATTTGAATATACATAAAAAAAAAAAAAATGAAGTTGGTGGAAATTTAACAGTGTGACACTGTCAAAATGCACCATTGGAGTAGTGCTAATAAAATCAGACTGTTTGCTCACTGATTTCTGCCCTCCAAAACAGTTTCAGCGAAAACCAAAAATTAATTTTTAGCCAAATATTTTTGTTTGCCAAAATGCCAGTGCATTACTACCAGAAACAGATTTAACAGACCTTGCGTGAAAGTGTGAGCATCGTGATCGGCATCTGCTCCGCGTTTGCTCAGTGGTGTGGAGGACAGACGTCTGGCTGGAGGAGAGATGAGTCTCAGCGGGTTTCTCTCTCTCGGAGAAGGAGTTCTGGTGAATTCCTGCTCGACAGGACATCCTGCAGAAGTGAAGCTCACCCTGGGCTGTGCTCTATAGGTCACTCTGGGAGGCGTGAGATCTTCAGCAGACGCTCGAGCGGCTCTGTGCTGGTGGCTCCTGTAAGCCTCCTCCAGACGCTCGGCCTCCTGCTCCAGCTCTCGTATCCGGGCCAGAGCGCTGCTCACCAGCTCGGAGTCTCGCTCCGCGGGCCACGGGCCCCTGAGGGCCGGCCCTGCTTCAGATAAATCAGCGTCAGAAGCGGCTCTGGGCTTTCGGAGCAGAGTGGCGTCTATGTAAACGTCAGGAGGAAGCAGCCTGTCAGGAATCAAACTGAGAACAGAACGCTCTACCAGGGAAGGCATGGGATTGCGGAGGATCTCGTTCTCCAGAGCTGTTCCGATCACGGAACAACACAGCAAATAGAAGAGAGGAGAGAGAAAGAGTTCAGAGAGAGGAAAGCCAAAACCACCAAACACTGATGAAAGAGCAGGGTTCCCACAAACATGACCTTCCTGCCTGTTTGAGATTACTGGAAAATTAATTTGGAATCATTCAGAATTATTTGTGAAGTTATTTGAATGATTCATTACAATTCACAAAAGGATCATTCAGAATGATCTGTGAAGTGGTTTGAACAATTCATTGAAACGAACATAATAAAAAGACTGATTCACAAATGAATTATTCCAAATGATTTGTGAAGTCTTTTGAAATACATTGAAATACAAATTCATTACTAAAAAAGAATGATTTGTTTGAATGATTTGTTTTGAATGATTTACTGTGTTAATACAAACTAAAAAGAACGATTCACCAAATAATCATTCAGAATAATAATGTTATTATTATAATCTGAGTTAGATATAAACCTAAAATCAGAAATGAAACATTTCATTTTCTCAGAAACTGAATAGAAAATAAACATTATTATTTACCATTCAGTTTCTGAGAAAATGAAATGTTTAATTTCTGATTTTAGGTTTATGTCTAACTCAGAATTTCTATTACTAAACTTACAAAAAAATGTAACTTACTAAAAAAAGAATGATTCCCAAATGAATCCATAAATAATATTCATTCAGTCATTCAGGAAAATCTGTGAAGTGGTTTGAATGACTCATGATAATATGTGACCCGTACAAAATATCTTCATGGAACATGATCTTTACTTAATATCCTAATGATTTTCGGCATAAAAAAATCGATAATTTTGACCCCAAAAACCCACAATGCTTTTTTGGCTATTGCTAAAAATATACCCAAGCGACTTAAGACTGGTTTTGTGCTCCAGGGTCACATTTGTTTACAAATGTTAAGTTACTAAACATAGCTAGAGAAATGTATATTCACTAAAGAAATGTATTAAAATTCCTTCATATTTCCAGGCTTTTGATGGCTGGGGGAACCCTGCATGAAATAAATACACGTTTGCAAGTTTTTAGCTTGCAAATTCGTATGAAAGGCATTCACAGAATATGAAAAGATGCTAAAATGTCTGATTCAATGAAACCACCAAACTTACAAAATAATCGAACATGTAATGTAATGGCTGATGCTGCGTTCCACTAAATATGAGGAATTTCCAACACCCAACATGGAAAAGCGCATAGAATTGAAGTCAGACTTCCAACCCTGAAACTCCAGTTTAGCAGAGATGTGATCGTATAGCGTCATGTGAACATGGAGGCACGCAGGAACATAAGTGAGAAACATTTACATCAACATCCCACATCTTTGAACTGAACACAGCATGAGCTCGCAGATTCATTCTAGAGGTTTCAGAAAATCAGATTGGAACTCTACAGACTCTACGGTAGAGATTCAATCGCCGCTAGCCTGCTGCGTGCACCTTGTTGTGTCTGCTGGAGCTGGAGCTTGAGCTCTTCAGCGTGAGTGTTCATCCACTTCACCCGCTCGTCACACTCCATCAGCTGAGCCTTCAACAGCGCACACTGCTGCACCTACAGTCAGAGAACCGCATCAGTCAGGAAACAAAGAAATGAAAGAAGACAATCTGAGATAGGAAATGGACTTGGGCAAAACATATATAAGTCACATTCAAGAAATAAAATTAAATATATATTTTTGTACAACCTCACCCCCCAAAATATATATTTTTTGCAATGCCTCTGAATGTTTCACTTTTAAATAATATTTATTGTTATTACTATTACAATGTAATATAAAATATAAAAAAATGTAACAACTTTACCAGCATTTCCCTAAAATTCTCATTATTGTAATATATCTGAATGTTTCAGGTTTGACTAATTGTTATTATTATCACTAATATTAACAGATTTATTAATAATAATAATAATAATTGTTGTTTTTAATACTATATTATTATTATTATCATTATTAAAATGTATTTAAAATGTAATATAATTTCCCCCAAAATTCTCATTATTGTAATTCTTCTAAATCTAAATGTTTTATTTTTGAGTAAATATTATTATTATTATGTATTGAAGATGTAATTTGATTTCTTATTTGTTTGTTTTGGTTTTAAAGGTCATATTCTTAATGTTTAATTTTAATTAGTATTTATTTATTTTGTATAATTAAGCACACTTCCCCCAAAATGATCAGTATTGTAATACATGTGTATCTGATTATTATTATTATTACTTTAATCAAATATTAAAACTTATTAAAAATGTAATATGATTTCCCCCCAATTTTTTTTTATTGTAATTCATCTGAATCTTACACTTTTGAGTAAATATTACTATAATAATAATAATAAACAATAACAAAAATATATTAAAAAGTAAAATAATTTTTTCTTTCTTTCTTGTGCTTTTGAAGGTCATATTCTTGACGGATTTAGTGAGATTCACCCTTTAAATCTAAAGTGAAATACAGTCAAGTGCTCAACACATCATGTTTCTTAACTAAGGGAATGAAGACTGAGAAGCATGCCAGCAGAAGCTCTAGATCCCGTTGGGACAGACCTCGTGCTGCAGCTGTGTGTGTAAGACGTTTTTCTGCGTCTCAAAGTCATCCTCGTCTAGTTTGCGTGCCGTCTCCAGTCTCCTGAGCTCGGCCTGCAGCGCCAGCTGCTCCTTAGACGGCGCGCTGAGCTCTAAACGAGAAACACAAACCTGTTACACATTACACGTGTTCTTAGTCTTCAAACCTGAGCCCAACTTTTGTTTTGGCTTTGTTCAGACAAACAGCTGACTTTTTTTGTGCATCCAATTTAAGCTCATAATGCAAAAAGCAAGAAAGAGGTTCATGCAGTGAGTATCCTGCAGTGTTACAGAGGAACAGTGGGTGTGTTGAACAGGCCAAACTCTGAAGCGTTTCTCTGTCCTTCACACCCCTTCGCTCCTCTTTTTCCCAGCAAATGCACAATTGCAGCCAAAAGGGCCAAATTAACAAGCAGAGCACATCCAAACAGACCACTTCTCTGTTTGTTATCCCTGTTTGACCCCGTTAGATTTCAGGCTGAACTACTCAAACTGGATTTCAAGAACAGCATCTTTCCCAGAACTCATACCGTGCTTATTTTTGCATATTTAGTCTGCAAATGTTTGTTGTTAGTTTTATTCCTCCTCAGAATAGACAGACAAACAAACTGGCTCGAAACGTGAAGAAGTTTTTCCATCCCAATCCTGCCCAAAACATTATTGATAAATGGAATCGATTATGAGGGTTGGAATAATGTTGGTTTATCAATTCATATAAAACTAAATCTCTTTCAAAGCATAAACAAACAGTGTGAGAATAAGCAATAAGCTTGTGGAAAGTTGAATGGAAGCTTTAAAAAAAGTTGTTTTTAAACTTACACTCAACTAAAATTTCTAAATCTTTTTAAAAATGTAAAGGTTTACACATTTTTATTATATATTATAATATATATTATATATTATTTTGTATAATTTGTGTATACATTTTTACATTTTTAAAAAGATTTAGAAATTTTATAAGTTGAGAAGTTAAACAACTTTTGAGAGTTGAGAAGTTAAACAACACAAGCTTATGTCAATAAAGATTTCCATTTCAAATAAATACTGTTCTTTTGAACTTCCATCAAAGAATCCTGAAAAATAAAATGAATCACGGTTTCCACAAAAGTACGAAAATTCAGCTTCGAATCAGAAAAATAAATTACAATTTACAATATTTTCACATAGAAAAAGGCTATTTTAAATTGTAAAAATATTTCACAATTTTACAGCATTTTTGATCAAATAAATGCAGCTTTGGTGAGCAGAAGAGTCTTCTTTCATAAAAAAAAAAATATATATATTTTGAATAATATTTAAGATGCATCAATAAGATGATCGATATTTATTAGCCAGCCCTAGTTATGATAATTTAGCGGGGTTGTTCCTGTAATAATGCTTATCAACAGAACTGTGAAACTAAACCCACAGATGGGAAGGTACAGAGGAAACTGAGCTTCACCTTGTCTGAGTCTCTGCTTCTCCTGCCGCTTCTCCTCCAGCTGTTGTTTCAGCAGTCTGATGTGCGTCTGCAGCTCCTGAGTGTCTCTCTTCAGCGCTGGATAGTCGCTCATGTTCTCCAGTCTCTCTCGCAGCAGCTCGTTCTGTTGGGCCAGAAGAGACGCCTGCGATCTGGACGACTCCAGCTCCATCTACATCACATACGAACAACACCATTTCATTTCTGAGAATGAACCTTTCAGGAGAGAGAACTCAACAGAGGCATAAAGCAACTTAAAAGGAAAAGATCCATGCATTATTTTAGTACAGCTGGATTATGGGAGCAGAAATGGAACAGTATGTCTGTTTTACCAGCAGACGTTTAACTTCTGATAAACTTCTCTCATGCTCTTCTGCTTTTGCATCAATAACAGCGGATTCTTTCTGCAGACGAACCGTTTCTTCTGCAAATGTAAGAATAACACATCAACAATAACTTTACAGTAAAGATCAATAAAATACTGTATACTGTAGCAGTTATATTTGACTTTTCTAAACACAGACCTTTAATCCTTTTCTCATTTTCTGTCAGTTTCTCGGTTCTCTTCGCGTAATCCTCCTTCAGCTCCAGCTGATATCTAAAACAGTTTATGATGACGTCTATAAATATGACTCAACTGTACATTCATTTACTGTTTCACTTTACAAAAACACACAATGCCAAAAGTTAGGGGTCGGTAAGACTTTTTAATGTTTTTATTTGATGAAAAACATTTTTACAGTTTAAACTAGCTGTTTTTTATGTGAATATCTGTTAAACTGTAATTTATTCCTGTGATGCGCAGCTGTATTTTCAGCATCATTACTCCAGTCTTCAGTGTCACATGATCTTCAGAAATCAGTATAATATGCTGATTTGCTGCTCGAGAAACATTTCTGATTATTATCAATGCTGAAAACAGTTGTGCTGCACAATATTTTTGTGGAAACCGTGATACATTTGATCTTTAAGGATTTTTTTGATGAAAGTCGTGCTGCACAATATTTTTGTGGAAACCGTGATACATTTTATCTTTAAGGATTTTTTTGATGAATAGAAAGATGTTTAAAATGTTTAAATGTTTAAAAGAACAGCATTTATTTGAAATAGAAATCTTTTGTAACATTATAAATGTCCTTACCGTCATTTTTAATAAATTTAATGCATCCTTAATAAATAAAAGTATTAATTTCTTAAAAAATAAATCTTACTGGCTCCAAACTTTTGAACAGTAGCATATTTTATCTAGAAAATGAAAGTTCATCTTTCATCAAGGATTGCAACTTGAGTCACAAGAGCGCCATCTGCAGGACTCATGAATTACAATCATTAAAAACTGAACAGAAATTGAGTTAATCACTTACTTCACTAACTCGCTCTTCAGTTTCTGGTCAAACGTGTCTTCCATGGTCTTCACAGACAGCTCTCTCCTCCTCAGAAGATCATCCATGGTCTTTACCTTCTCCTCATGCAGCTTACAGGTTCTGCATCATTACGGCAAAATTCAATATTATTAGGTAATATTATAATATGCATCATTATATAAGAGGTTCCATGATATTCAACAGTGAAGTCAACAGTGAAAGGGCTCATGTCAGCAGGAATTTAATCTTCCTTGATCTGTTCAGACCAAAGGTCATTGACCTTTAAAAAACATAGTCAGCTTCAGAAGTAAAAACTTCCTCCACATCAGGGTCGACAGCAGTGCTATTTTAGTAATATTTATATACTTATATAGTATTTATTCATATTTTGAATTACCTATTTTTAAATATATTTTCATTAAATTTAGTTAAAGTTTTAGTTGATTTGTTATGTGATTTTGTCATGTTTTTTAATATTTATTTATTTTTTTTATACTTTCAGTTTTCATTTTAGTTTATGTTTTAATTTTTTTTTTTTTTTTTTTAAAGATTTTTTTCAATTAGTTCAATTATTTGCCAAGGCAACATTTCAAATGTTCATTTAGTTCAAGTGTTTCATCAAATATTTCTATTTTACTTTATATCAGCTTTATTTCAATAACTAAAACCATTTTTTAATAGTTTTAGTTAACAATAATAACACTGCTTCACACTGAAAGAAACACATCAGAGTTGATAGCAGTCTTATTTTAGTATTATTTATATACTATTATAGTATTTTTCAATATGTAAAATTGTTTTTATTTTTAAATTTTCACTTTTTATTTTAATTTTAGTTAGTGTTTGTAATGTTATGTGTTGTTGTCATGTCTGTTTAATTTTTTATTTATTACTTTTTATTTTTATATTTTCGGTTTTCATTTGAATTTTATTTGACATTTTAGTCACTCTGTTATGCGTTCTTGTCATATATTTGTTTTTATTGTTTTTTTTATTTAAGTTTTAGTTTCAGTTTAATAATAAAAATAGTTTTTTAATTGCATTTTTAGTTTTAGTTTCATAATGCTAGTACTTCAAATTAAACTGCTCCGCATTGAAAGAAGCGCACTGCTTTTTTTTTAGGTTCAAATAAGCAGTTGTACTCACTTGTCAAAGGCCTCCATCCTCTGTTTAAGCTCAATCTCTCGGCTCCGCACAGATTCGATTTCTTTCAGCAGGGCTTGTCTTTGAGCATAAATCTCCTTTTCCTCTGTCTGGATCGATTAAAACATTGAAGATTCAACAATGGGTTTGTATTTAGCGTGTATTAGTTGACAGTAGAGAGACTCAGTACCTCCTGTGATTTCTGTAACCTCTCGATGGCGTTTTTCTCTCGGCTCATCAGAGCCTCAGACTTCAGCTCAAACGTTCTCTCCATGTCTCGCCGCAGCTCCAGGATTTCTCTCCGCGAGGCCTCCTTCTCGTCTCTCTTCACCTTTGCGACCTCCACCTCCATGAAGTGCTGCAGCTGCGTGAAGACGGTACAAACGCTCTGTTGAGATCTTGAGCGCTATTACAATGTAAACTCCTGGAAAGGATGAGGGAATAAACACAGTCGGACCTTTGCTTTGAGCTCCACCTGCGCTTGCTCCTGTATCTCCTTCCTGTACTCCGCAAGCTTGGCCTCCACTGATGCCCAGCGGTCACCTCTGTGCCGAAGCACTTCATACTCCTCGTCAATCAGCTGCAGCTTCTCAACTTCAAAACAGTCAAAGATGAAGCGGAAATATTGTTAGGCTCTTTCATGATGTTTAATATGACTGAAAGGAATTTAAAATGAACAGGTGAAATAAAATCCAGACTTTTTTTTGCATCTTGAGGTAGATTTTGGCAGAACATTTTTTTTGTGAAATTCTGTGCTAATGGAGTTAAATATGGCAAAATATTGAAAAACTATAGATAATTTATTTGTCCTCACAGTGGCACATACATAACACAAACACATAACCGGTCAAAAGTTTTTTTTTTTTATGTTTTTGAAAGAAGTCTCTAATGCTCACAAAGGCTGCATTTATTTGATCAAAAAATACTGTAGAAATTGTGAAATATTATTAGAATTTAAAGTAAGTGTTTTCTATGTGAATATGATGTAAAATGTAATTTATTTCTGTGATGCGCAGCTGTATTTTCAGCATCATTACTCCAGTCTTCAGTGTCACATGATCTTCAGAAATCATTCTAATATGCTGATTTGCTGCTCAACAAACATTTCTGATTATTATCAATGTTGAAAACTTGTGCTGCACAATGTTTTTGTGGAAAAACTTATTTTCCAGGATTCACAGAAAGTTCAAATTATTTGATATAGAAATCTTTTGTAACATTATAAATGTCTCTACTTTCACTTTTGATCAATTTAATGCATCCTTGATGGATAAAAATATTAATTTCTTCTCTGCTTTTCTTTTCTTTTTAAATCTTACTTTTTAAAGGTAGTGTATTATGGTTTCCACAAAAATATTGGGCAGCACAACTGTTTTCAACATTGCTAATAATCAGAAATGTTTCTCGAGCAGCAAATCAGCATATTAGAATGATTTCTGAAGATCATGTGACACTGAAGACTGGAGTAATGCTGCTGAAAATTCAGCTTTGATCACAGGAATAAATCACACTTTAACATATATTCACATAGAAAACAGCTGTTTTAAACAGTAATAACAAGTTTCACTGTAGTTTTGATCAAATAAATGCAGCACTGGTGAGCATAAAAGACAACGGTTGATTTCTCCGTACTTTAAAATGGGGACTATTTATTTACTTATAAACTTATTTATAAACTATTATGAGCACTTTTTTGAAGGCCGAAATGTTTAATAAATGAACACGTGTTGAGCTTTGTGAACGGTGGGTGTTTAAATTCTTCAGAATCTGTGGATCATCCTGTGGAGCTCTTCATGGAGTCTGGATATAAGCAAAGGCTTACCGAGTGATTCTCTATGCGCTGATATGGAGGTGGATTGGGTGGAAGCATCGCAGCAGTCTCTGTAAACGTGATGTTCAGTGAGCTCTGTGAAGAGACTCATCAGGAAACCTGCAGGGATAAAACAACATTCATCATGATGCTCATCACAGAGAGCAACAGTGTCAGTATCTTACGGTGTACTGAGCCAGACAAATAGCATCAATTTGTATTTCATGCCAACTTTAAATATCTACCATCTGCACAGGGATTTATTAACACAAATCTGAAAAAGAAAACATTTAATTTGTAATTTATTTATGTATATATGTATGTATAATTTAACGCCATATAAGCAGCAATGGCTATACTCAGGGCAAAATCAACAGTATTATGATATTAGATATTACAATATCAATAGATTATTTACAACAATTGAACCATTTTATCTAAAAAACAATCAACATGGAAAAAATTATTTATATATAATTTTTAAATTTAATGTATGATTTAATTATTCTTTTAAAAAAATAAAATATATAAAATAAAATATCATTTAATAATATCATTTAAAGGGGTCATATGATGCAATTTCAAGTTTTCCTTTCTCTTTGGAGTGTTACAAGCTCTTGGTGCATAAAGAAGATCTGTAAAGTTGCAAAGACTAAAGTCTCAAATCCAAAGAGATATTCTTTATA